TAATAGAATTAGTAGAAACGATAATAGAATTAATAAAAATGATAATAAAATTAGTAGAAATGATAATAGAATTAATAAAAATGATAATAAAATTAATAGAAATGATAATAGAATGTTTTCAAATTAATTAGGGTACCTAGGTTGCTACCGTCACAGGGTCACGCACATGCACATTCCATCGGTGGTCGCGTGCATCTGATAACAGTGACAACAAGTGGGCTTCTGCTGACGAGAGTAATACAGACGACTAAATGGCAATAGTATTAATTATTTCGAGTTCTGAGCTCATTACGCGAAACTAAAGTTTGTTTCAAACGGATTCCATATAATCCACAAACAACACGTACTCATATTTTGTCTATCCATTCTGTCATACAAGCTCCAATAATGAACTGTTATTACGTAAGTACTTCCAGTTAGAATATACGAGCTGAAGTGTGTTACCAGAGTTATTAATAACTACGTAACTTGTTTTGTATGTATTTCCAAAGTAATTAACATGGAATACATGTCTTAATTAACATATAGGTTTTCAGACAAAGGTCCTCGTCTTGGAAACTATGAATAGGTAAGGATGTCATAAGCGATCTATCATTATATTTATGCAAATTTCCATCTACACCTAGTATGGGCCATTTTAGCCCATACAAACTACATCATTTGGTCTCTTGACCTATAAAACTATTGGTACTGTACCTAACGCTACGAAATGTTTCTTTAACAACAACATTACTGGTATCACATGGCTTTTACACTTGGTTGTGTCTTTTACAACAACATTACTGGTATCACATGGCTTTTACACTTGGTTGTGTCTTTTACAACAACATTACTGGTAGCACATGGCTTTTACACTTGGTTGTGTCTTTTACAACAACATTACTGGTATCACATGGCTTTTACACTTGGTTGTTTTTTTACAACAACATTACTGGTAGCACATTGTTTCTACATTTGGTTGTGTCTTTTACAACAACATTACTGGTAGCACATGGCTTTTACACTTGGTTGTGTCTTTTACAACACATTTAAGTTTCTATTATTAACATTATCTTTCTTAGCATCTTTCCTGGCAGAGTTAAGTTTCTACTCTTAACATCATCCTTCCAGAAAAAAAATACAGGTTCTGTTCTTAACAGCATATTTTCAGATACAATTAAGTTTCTATTCCAGATATAAATAAGTTTTTATTTTTAACGGCATCTTCCCCGACATAATTGTCTATTCTTAACGGCATATTTCCAGGAATAATTAAGTTTCTATTTTTAACGGCATATTTCCAGGAATAATTAAGTTTCTATTTCTAACGGCATCTTCCCCGACATAATTGTCTATTCTTAACGGCATATTTCCAGGAATAATTAAGTTTCTATTTTTAACGGCATATTTCCAGGAATAATTAAGTTTCTATTCTTAACGGCATATTTCCAGGAATAATCAAGTTTCTATTTCTAACGGCATCTTCAGCGACATAATTAAGATTTTATTTCTAGACATATTTATGAAAAGGCATCATTCTCAGAACAATAAACTTATATGAACAGTAGATTTCGGCATCATTCCCAAGACAATTAAAGTTTTGATTTCAACGTCATCTTTCAAGACACAAGTAAGTTTCTAATCTTAAAGGTGTCATTCCCATCACAGTTGTTTCTCTATTTAATTACAATATTTAAATGCTAGGAAATCGGTTTGTCTTAATGGTATCACAATGGGTACTATAAGGACTGCAAAAGTGTGTTTGTATATGTGTGTAAAGGGACAGTCATATGGAGGCTTGAATTAGCTGTTGTTAAACACGAAGCTACAAAATGGGCTATCTGTGCTTTCCCAACACGGGTATCAAAACCCAATTTTAAGCATTGTATGACTTCAGACTTATCGCTGAGCCAGTGGAGGGTGGGACATATGGGAGCTTGGGTTGCTTTGATTTGGCTGTTGTAAAACACAAAGCTACACAATGAGTTATCTGTGCTTGCCCACCACGGGTATCTAAACCTGATTTTAGCGTTATAAGTCTGCAGAATTATCGATGAATCACTGGGGGAAGCATATGTAGGGCTTACACCATGTTTTATTTGATTTTATACCACGTGGGTATATATATATATAATGTCCTGAATTTTTTTTAGCTGAACAAAATCCACAGTACTTTCCCTTCAAACTTCCATTACACATGTTGTACAGAAATTTATTCTGTTTTTTCTCGCAAACATAAGCACCCTTTTTTACTAATGCGGTATCTCCCTTCTCTTGGGACAGTGTTTGGACGATTTAAATTGGGATGGAAATAAAAGAATTATCAATACTTATTTTTTCCACCCACTTTGAAAAACACTTATTTTACTTGAATTAAATGTGAGGAGTAGCGCCTCCCGTTTAGAAAGTGAGTGGATATTTGACCTCCCTGTTTGTCTTTTAGTAGTATAGCTTGATGGAGTAATTTTCAATGTTCTGTTATACAAATGGGCATTTTAAGAAATTAAATGTAGCTAGACGAGGCTATTTTTACATTAGTAAATCATATGACAATTTGGTGCATATATGTTGATTTATAAACTTTGGATTACGGACGTTTAATAAATAGTAGATTGGAACTGGAACTGCTGGAAGCTTTATAACAATTATACATTCTTTAATATAATGATTATGAAAGGAGTGTAAATACGAATATTTGTGACTCACTGTTGACGAGAATCGTATATTTTAGGGTGCTACAAATAAGACAGGCTTTGAACAATACCTCGTGGTGCCGTTGAGTTTCGCGGAGATTGAATGTCAGCCGAGTTGTGTCCCTTTTTCCGAGGTGTCTCAGTAATGCAGCATTCTCCTTTATCTGTTTCTGGCTCTGTTTCATCCAATGCCGAGCCATTTCGAAGCGAAGCCGCTGGCTGAGAACGTCCAGGGGACTGACGATTGAGAGAGACGGGCGACTTCCACGTTTTGCAATGGCCGATTCAACTATATCCTGGAATGGCGAGTCTTCGTCACTCATTGATAGGTAGGGCTTTTGGTCATTCACATCAACTTCGAAGAGATCACTGTATGTGGCAAGTTTGGATGCTTCTTCTGGAGATAAACGCTCCCACTCATCATATATCCCAGGATCATAAAAATCTTCAGTTCCAACGGGAATTTCATAACCTCGGTAAGGATCAGATAGTCCTGAAGAGAAGATGTTCAGAAGAAACTGTTTGGAGTTTACAGGAAGTGTGTATGCAACGTTTTCAGAAGTGGCTTCGGGAAGAGAAGATACTGAAGAAGCTGCATGGTTGTCAAGGTAACTGTGTCTAGAAGGATGGCCTGTTGTATTGTCCAGCTGAGTCCAGAGCAGCAGAAGAATAACGTGCATTCCAATAGAAAGAGTTCGACAACCAGAAGACATCCTTAGGCCCTGTACAACAAAAAACTCATTATAGGTAACCTAGTTTATGAAATTTTAGTTGGAACAAGACTGCAAGACGTAACTACTCTGACATATAGTTTATACATAATTATTAAAGGATTTCAATATCTTATCCATCTCTTTTCACATGGATATGTAAGTTAAGAACGTTGAAAATTTGAATTTATAAGAATAACCATGACGATTTTGAAATAACTCAATTTTTTCAAACTGATCTTACGCTATTGGGTTTAAGGTTTAGTGATAAAAACTGTGGACAGAAACAATAATTAGATAGGAAGAAAACCTGGCGCTAGTTTCTGGAAAGAAATATATTCTTCATTCTTTTGTAACATTAAATAAATATCGTATATTAATCAGAAAAAAAAAAAACATTGCTGGATGTAAACTGCAGTTCGTCATTCTTTGGAATTGAACTGATAATAGCAATTAACGTAGCCGTATCTACAGATATAAACTATATTAATGCAACCAAACCGAAAGCCAGGCTTATCTGATGGTGTAACCGACGATCGAAATTAAGAGCTGTTGAGAAGACGATTTAAAAAACATTTAATTAAATTAAGAAAGGAATAGTTTGAAAATACATCTTTCGTTTAAAATACAATCTCTAGTAGAGAAAGATGAAACATCGTTTTTAGACCTGTGCTGAAGAGAGCCAAAAGTCTAGAAAAAAGTAAAAAGCTGATGTAAACTTTAAAGTAATAAATCCATTAATAACGTGTTTTAAGTGTAGCAATACAGGTGGAAATAAGACACTCTTCACGCTTAGGTGACCAATCATTTAAAAAGAAATACAAATGTCTAAATACAAACCTTTGAACCCTTCCATCTATTTACATGATATTATTATAAAGGGATTTAATTGAAATTATTCTAAGGGGGGATACGAATTATGTTAAATACCAGTCTTATTAGAAACGTGAATTTCGAAATAACTCCAGCTTATTTGTTGCCCGCTCCTCGTCAAAATTGTAAACCTGCTTCTTATGGTAAGTAGGCCCGGCATGGCCAGGTGGTTAGGGCACTCGACTCGCAATCTGTGGGTCGTGAGTTTGAATCCCCGTCCCACCAAACATGCTCGCCCTTTAAGCCGTGGGGGCGTTATAATGTGACGGTCAATCCCACTATTCGTTGGTAAAAGAGTAGCCCAAGAGTTGTCGGTGGGTGGTGATGACTAGCTGCCTTCCCTCTAGTCTTTCACTGCTAAATTAGGGACAGCTAGCGCAGATAGCCCTCGTGTAGCTTTGCGCGAAATTCAAAACAAACTTATGGTAAGAAGGGATTTCAAAGGACATTTGATGAAAATAGGTCTGACAGGGTACTACACATTGGTCATTTGATGAAAATAGGTCTGACAGAGCACTACCCTGAGCATTTGATGGAAAGAGGTCTGACAGGGCACTACCCTGAGCATTTGATAGCAAGGAGTCTGACAGGGCACTACCCTGAGCATTTGATAGAAAGAGGTCTGACAGGGCACTACCCTGAGCATTTGATGAAAAGAAGCCAGACAATATGCTGCTCCTGAGTTCGACTCACAAGCTACACAATGTGGGAGCTTTGAAATACCCGAGGGTCCAGGAGAAATATATTAACCATTAATTTTCGAGCTTACAACTGTATTTTAGTAATTAATAGGGATCCATAAGAATTTTATGTTGTTGGATATGTTTGAGTTTGTGAAAATTTCAACTTTTGTAAATAATAAAATCAAACTAATTCAACACTTCATTCTCACACGTAATCCAGAAATATTTACCTGGGCTAGTTATGGGCATCAAAACAAATGGACTACTCTTTCTTCTTAGTAGTACATTTTCATTTCCCATTGAAAAGATTCACATTCCATATTTGATGTTACTTTATTAAAGTATATACTTACCGGGCAACCAAAAGTCTTGTTAGAATAATAAATTTAGAAATCTATTTTCAGTGAAAGCTCTGATCTATATTCCAAACATCGGACACCAGAAGGAGCTATTTTTTTTTATTAACTCTGGTAATTAGAGCTTTATGTTAGTTAAATTGTCTTTGTGTATTTAATGGCATTTGTCAAAGTGACTTAATTATTTAGCATTGAAATGTATTACTTGTTTAATTAAAAAAGTGTAAGGAAATGTTAGTGTGTTTTATAGACTTTTACACTGATTCTATGAGTACAAGTAACCTAGTTTACATACATTTGTAGTGCTAGCACTTTATAATAGTGGGTACAAAAACTCGATGAAACTGTTATACAGATTTGGGCTAATGGGTACAAAATAATGGACCCAAACTGTTAAGGTGTATTTATTAGGAAAAATATTAAGAGTTTTAAGGGGCCAAACATTTAAAATAAATGTTTTTTTTTAATCTACGTAATCTCAATTTGTGTCAAAGAATATTTAAAATGGGTAATTTTTATATTTTATTCTTAATACGTGTTTATAATTCGGACTGGGATAGAACCCAGATACATGATAATATAAGCCCTGTTGAGTCTTGGGGGCAAAAGTTAGCCATGGAAAACTAAATTAAGTGAAGTATTTGTTTTTTAACAAATCGTGATGTAAAGTTGATCAACCTTGTGTCAAGTGTTTATTATTATCACTCAGAACCTAAGTGCCAAAATATTCTAATGATTACGACTAATTAGTAAATAAATGAAAAATTCGCTGATATGAGTACTTTCTATGAGGGGCTCACAGAAATAAGTGGATATTTTCTCTTTTCATATCCTTAATATGATCAATTGTGGGCAATGAACAGTTATAATAATTGGTTAATATTCCTCCGCAGGAATTGGCATCATATGTTGTATGCTTTCACCGTAAATGGCGGCAAGCACCAATAACATTGGTGTTGACAGATAGGTTTTCAATCAAGTTCGTAACGAGGGAGGAAAAGAAAGGAAGAGGAAGGCTGCGAAGCTCTCTCACATTCTCTTCCTCAAGTCTCCTGGCGACAAAGTGGAAAAGGCTCTCATGGAACGTGAAAATACCACGCTTTAAATGATTAGTCGTCTAATGAATTCAATTGAGAAGTTAGGGTTAGGAAGAAATTCCTTTTCCATCTTGCATAGATTGTCC